TCTCACCCCTCCCCTCCTTGTACCCCTCCCTCATCCCTCCTCTTCTTTCATCCCTCTACCATCTCTGTACACCCCTCCCTCATACCACCGTCGTTTGACCTCTAGGTGACCTTCGAGGCGGACAGCCTACAGCTGGACCTGACGGAGCTGGCCGAGCGCGGGCATGCCTTCCTCAGCGTGCACGGAGACCTGACGTTCGAATGCGACGCGTACGAGGACGCGCAGCCGATCACCTTCACTACCGACTGGTCGTACCTGAGCCTGCCGACGTGGCAGGCGGCACGCTCCGGTAGCATCTCCTTCAAGTTCCGCACGAACGAACAGAACGGGTTGTTGATGTACGATAGTGGAGCGACGGAAGGAGGGGGAGGAGGGGGAGGGGGGACGCCGGATTTCTTTACGTTTGAGCTGATGGAGGGACTCGTGTACATGGTGATGAATCTCGGATCGGGAGTGACCAAGGTCAAGGCGACCAACAGGTGAGTGAGTGTAGGAGGAGGAGGTGGTGGCGGAGGAGGAGGCGGTGGTGGAGACGGTGGAGGGGGAGGCAGTGGGGGAGACGGCAGAGGGGCGGTGGAGGGGGAGGGGATGTACTATACCGCTGTAAACATATAGACATAGATAATAGAGATATAGACAACTGGTGGCATCTCTATGAAGGACGGCCCCCGCATCGTGATCTCACACAGCGTCGCAGCCATCATGATCCCGGAGCACGGAGAAATCTCTCTAAGAACACTCTAACCGGTGGTTTCTCTCGCTAAATTGATGGCGCAGTACGAGACACACTAACAGATAGAAGCGGTTAGCGCACTGACATTTCCAAGGCGAATTTACGAGCGTCGGGATGGAGGAGGGGGGTGGGGGGAATCGCCAGTAAAGAGTCACGCTAGTGCCTATAGAACGCAGCTGAATTATATCGCTTGTCTTATCTGCCGACTCACAGCGCTCTAGGATAGACGTAAAGATCGTGGTAAAAACAGGCAGGATTTAATGTGCTGCGCGTATTTTACTGCTTGAGCCGTAACAAATGGCGACGCTTTGCTTAATTGCCGCTCGACCTACGGACGCGAGCGCACGACGGCGACAACAAAATCGAGAAGCAATTAATAGCTTTACGGTGAAAATCGGTAGCGATTTCGCGTTAACCATGGCAACGAGGATTGCGCGGGTAACATTATAGTCTCCAGCTTCATCGTCTGCTGGCAAAGTCCCAGTACGCGCGGAAAACGCACGAAGGCATTTATAGACGCAAGATTTTCTAAAGGCTGACAAAATGGCATTCAATTCAAGCGGCATATCGCGCTGGAAATGGGAAATTTTGCAACATTAATGTCCGATGATGGTAGCAGCATTTCGTTAAGTTATATATTATAACTTATATTCATATTACTATATAATATATATAATGTAAATTTCTTTAATGTTAAAGCTACACGTACTCGGGTGTTCGCGTTTAAACACATGCAGAATATTCAAATCTGTGTGGGAAACGAACGAAATCGCCATTTCTATCCCGTCCTGCTACACAGACGCGGAAATCCATCGAAAAAAACCCGACAGCGTTTTTTTTTCAAATTGCGCATTTTAATGTTCAATTATCAATTTTCAAATTTTCAATCAGCGCATTGAGATCTCGAAATGCTCCCCCCCCCACTTCGGATTCACTCCCGATGCAACATTTACCATTTTTGACGATCCCTGACACAAATGTGATGACGTCATTTACTTACGTCACTACGTATGTTTTAGGGATTGGTTAGAAGTTTCGATTGTATTCGATTATCGATTCGATTCAATGTACACTTGTTTTTCGGGAAACGTAAAGAAAGCGGTGTGTGGCGAGAGAGGAATGCAGGTGTTCGAGTATTTTTGGATCCGGGCAATGTCGTGTGTGACAATCCCACCTGTCCTCCACAAATCCACACTTCCCTTCACCTTCCCTGTTCCTCCTTCCTCGCAGGCGGGTGGACGACGGAGAATGGCACACCGTCTCTCTACACAGGGAGGGACAGCGTGGTCGCCTCTCTGTCGACGGCACGGCGACGGATTTCGCTTGTCCGGGGAAAGCTGCGCAGCTCGACCTCATGGTAAGCACGTGATACAACATGGCGGCCACGCATGCGCACACCGATGCTACACGGAAGCTGCGAAGCTGGTCTCGTATCAGAACGATGTTTTTTTGTTCATAATCGAGAAAATAGTTTTAGTATTTATTTCAACGAGTTAGCTGGCTAGTCTAGATCGCAAGTATCCTCTCTTCTCCGCATCCTCTTCTCCCAGCATCATTTCCTTCCCCGCATCCTTTCCTTTCCCGCATCCTTTCCTTCCCCGCATCCTTTTCTTCCGCGCATCCTCTCCTTCCCCGCATCCTTTCCTTTCCCGCATCCTCTCATTCCTCGCATCCTCTCCTTCCCCGCATCCTCTCCTTCCCCGCATCCTCTCCTTCCCCGCATCCTCTCCTTCCCCGCATCCTCTCCTTCCCCGCATCCTCTCTTTCCCTCGTCTTCTTTTCCCGCCATCCTTTCCTTTCCCGCATTCTCTTAACCCTATCCCTCTAACAGTAGCAAGTAGCAACCCTCTCATACCCTGACACCCGCGCGCGTGTGCGTCGTCTTGCAGGGCCCGCTCTTCGTCGGCGGGATCGCACAGGGTAACAGCGGCGGGGTCCTACCCCGGGAGGTCTGGTCGGCGATGCTACAATACGGGTTCGTCGGCTGCATGCGCGACCTGGTCGTCAATGGCGACGCGCTCGACCTGGCGGCAGCCGCAGCGGCGCAGAACCCGGAGGAGATCCGGCCGTACTGCCGTAAGCTGCCGGCACAGTGCGAGGACGAGCCATGCTACGATGGCGTCTGCCGAGAGGGATGGAACCGCTACATGTGCGACTGCGCGGCGACGGGGTATTGGGGTCCGACGTGCTTCAACGGTACGTGCGTGCGTGGGAGGGGGAGAGAGAGAGAGTGTGTGTGTGTGTGTGTGTGTGTGTGTGTGTGTGTGTGCGTGCGTGT